AGCTGCTGCGGGAAACGCTCCACGGCGGCGGCAATGACGGCGCGCACAACCGCCTCCACGTTGACGCCTCGCCGCCCCGCAGCGTACGACCAACCCGCGAAGCCGTGGCGCGCGCAAACCTCGTCGAGCGCCGCGTGAGAGGCCCACGATGGTGGTGACGGGAGACCCGCGAGGAGGTCATACTTGTTAACAACAAGCCAACACGGTGGATTTGCATCCCCCTCCCCGTCCCCTTTCTCTTGCTGTTGCTGCTGGCATTTGGAGGCACCGCTGCTGCTGCTGCTGCGCCGCGGCTTCCCCCCCTGTGGGACGAAGATCTTCTGCGCCACATCACTCTTCCACGAGAGAGCGCTCGTGAGGCTTTCGATATTGCTACTCATCTCGCAAAAAATGATCACTGCCATGGCACCCGTGTAGAAGATGCGTGTCATCTTCTTTGTGCTCTCCTGTCCTTGGATGTCCCACACCTTCACAATCGCTGGCACGTGTGTCAGTGGCCACTCTATTTCCCCCTCCTCCCCGCCGCCTGTCGTCCTGCTGCTGCTACGGGTGCTGCCGCTTCTGCCGGCCATTGCTGCCGGGTAAAAGGCGGGGAGGCGCGGGGGAGTGATGGCGTACTCGTCGCCAAAGGGGTTCTGCAGCACTGCATAGCTGCTGCTCCCCGCCAGGGCGTTGGAGGAGAGACCAACCGGCGTCGGTGAGCGACGGCGACGGAACGTAAACTCACCCGTGCTGCTCCTGCTGCCACCGCCACCGCCACCGCCGCTGCTGCTGTTGCCCTCCACCGCCACACTCTCCGTGAATGGCACTGGTAGAGCGCCAACAGTACACGCCTCATCTCCTTTGGGCGCGGTGCCCTCATCACATGGCGGAGAGGCCATTGTAGTAGTCGTTTCTGTTGTTTCAGTGCAACTGTTGGGTTCGAAGTAGGCGCTCGGAGGCACCGCAATGGACATTTCGCGCCGGTGAAACTCCATCTGAATCGTCGTCGAGAGATGCAGAGGGCACTCGCCTGTCTCCCAGTACCGGAGGAACGTTGTCTTGCCAGTGTTGGCCGCGCCGACGCACACCACCTTGATGTCGAGCTCCCGCGCCACACTGCTGCCTCGGCTTGACAGCGTATCGGTAGCCGCAGCAGTAGTGGGGGTGGCGGCGCTCGTGGAGGAAAGCGGCAACGACTTGGATCGTCGCAGCATCTCCGCACGGCTGCTGCTCCTTCCGCCCTTCTTCGTTCCTTCCTTCCTTCCCCACCGCAGTGGCCGACGTGCGAAGATGAGGTGGGACGCGGAGAGATATTCACACAGGCACTGTGGCTGACACAAACACCCACGCACACACACACACACACACACACACACACACTGAAGTACGAGAGCAATGAAGCGCACGACAACGCTCCATGGAGGGTGCTCCTTTTTTGTTTTTCTTTGGTTGGCTTCTGTTGTTTCCTCCCATCCTTTTTCTTTTCTTTTTCTTTTTCTTCTTCTTCTTCACTCCTCCTTCGTTTAAACGAGTCGGTGATGCCTTACGGTTGACGGGCACCCCTGCTTTCTTTTCCTGCTTTCATTGCCTTCGTGCATTGATGTCGCTCGTGTTATTGTTTGCCCGACGTCCGTCGGAGGCGTTCCTCCAGCGACAACTTCTCCATCCGGTGCCGCTTGCGCGCGACGTGAATGGCCTTGTCGCTGCTTGCGAAGAATGCGCGATTATCCTTCTTCGCCTCATAAAACGCGACCTGCCGCTGCCCCTGCCCCTGCTGCTGCTGGTGGTNTGTTGTTTTGTTTGTTTGTTTTCCGTTGGCTGCCGTCCGCCGCCTCAGCCTCGTCCTCTTGCGCGCGCTGCCGCCGCCGCCGCTGCTGCTGCTGCTTGCCGCTACTCTGCACCCCATTCAGATGCCTCCGCGCGTCATCGTCATCGTTGTTGTTACTGCTGCTGTGGCCGTTGTGCCTGTCTTCATTGTCAACGCTGCCGTCGTTGCTCTCGGCGTCGGGGACGATGGAGAAGAGCTCGGACTCGTACCGCTGGCGCCGCTGACTTGCTTGTGCGCGGCGCTCGTTGATGACCTGCAGCAACTTGGCGTACTCCGGGTTGGACGGGTCCAGCGCAAAAGACGCGGCGCTGCTGCCGTTGAACGCCTTTTGGAATCGCGGGTCCGCCTTCGCCGCTGCCAGCACTTGGCTCTTCGCGCCCGTTCCCCCCGCCGCCGCATCGGCAGCAGCAGCAGCAGGAGCGTCATCAGCGTCGTCGGCGTCGTCGTTGGCAACGCGCTTGAACTTACTGATGCGGTTCTCCCAGCGCTGCTGCGTCTTGCGCTTCGCGTTCTCCTGCACATAACGGTTGAAGGCGCCGGGGTCGACGACGGCCTTCAGCTCGCGATGCAGACCGTTCTCGATGAAGGCACCGTGCATGACGGGGCGCACCTTCCCACCCGCGAGGTCCTCCGCAGTCATGCCGAGTGCATCCATCTCCTCCTTCGACACGAACGTGTAGTCGTCGTACACCGTCGTCATCTCCTTCTCCTCCAGCTCCTCCGTCAGCACCTCGAGGAACGACGCCCACCGAGGCGCCACGCCGAGCTGTGGGATGAAGTGCACTTGCACCCGCGGCGCGTCGCAGCAGATGCACACCACACCGCTATCACTGCACTCGTACGGCTCGACCATGTTGTGCTGGCTGCGCAGCACGCAGAAGTCGGTGATGTCTGCAGGGGCCTCGATGCTGGTGAAGTTACTGCCGTCCTTCTTACTCCACACCTTCAGCGAGCGGGTGTCAGCAGAGAGCACGTGCGTCGCCTCCCCGGTGGAGGTGCTTCGACCTTGGAAGAAGTACGTCTTTACAATCGGGAGTGAGTTCATGTGGTCCTTCACAATGAGCGGCTTCTGAAGCCGAAGGTCGTACAGCAGCACGTGCCCTGACTCCGTACCGCAGCTAAACAGCAGCCCCGTCTCGTCATCGGCAGCAATATGGCGCAGCTCGCACGTCTCATCAATACCAGAGGAGGCACCTGGCCCAACAGCTCTTAGGCGTGCTGCACACGTTGCTGCGCGACTGTCCCACGCCTCCACCACGCCGTCCACACCGGCGCACAACACCAGGCCGTGATTCTTGAACACCTCCACGTGATTGACACCCTCCGCGCACTGCGTCTTATAGCTCTCGACGAAGCCGCCAGTCTCGAGGCTGAGGCGGAAGATCTCATGCGAGGTCCCACTCGACAGCAGCTCGGCGGTGTACGGATGGTACGCGAGGCAGCGCATCGTGTGCGGCACCCGCACGCGATCCACAATGGCCGCGGAGTGGTGCACAGTGATCTGGCGCCCCTCGCCGCGCAGCGCGAACTTGCGGAAGTCGGGCGAGAGCGAGACGCCGCCAAGGATCGGCATGTCGGCGTTGAAGCTGTACTTCATGCTCAGCTGATTCACGTCGAAGCACTTCAGCCGCGGGGGGTAGTCGCCTGCGGCAAAGAGGTGCGTTCCGTTCGCGGTGCGGAAGACGGTGCGGGCGAAGTGCGGAAACTCGAGATCGTGGACGAGCTCAATGCGGTGCTGGCCACCGGCGAGCCGCTTGTTCTTCTTGCGCTCACTCAGCCATTCCGGCAGCGACTTGCCGGCGGTGAGATTGTACGTCTTCACCTTGTTGTGGAGCGCCACCTGCATCCTTCGCCCACCCTACTGCCCACTTGCGAGTGCTATTACTACTACTACCCTGCAGACACACACACACACACACTCACAAACACAAAACAAGCAGACAATAACGAACGGCAACACAGGAGGACAGCAGAGCATAGTAGACTATTTGGAGCAGATAGATGCAAATATAAACAGTCTGCAGAAAAGAGAAGGCAACTAAGAGAGAATATGCGTGTGTGTGTGTGTGAGAGAGAAAGTCACCCCTCTCCCTTTTCCCCTTCCTCCCTCCCCGCAGTACATTTAACCATCGGCCTCTTTTTCTTCTTCGGGGGAGCGGGAGGGGAGGGGACATAGTCGCACTTAAAGCCTCAGACGCCAACCCCAGAATGCTTATGATAATGATGAATAAAAGATCAACAGCTGAAACGGTAAGGAGGGGGCGGAGAAGAGTCCAAGGGACGCGCCCGCCCCCCCTCTGCCTCTCTCTCTCTCTCTCTCTCTCCTTCGTGTGTGTATGTGTGTGTGCCTGAGCCCCTCCTTTCCTCAACTTCCTTCCTTTTTTTTTCAGGTTTCTTGTTTCTCTCCTCTAGCACCTTTCTACTTTATATTCGCCCTTCCCCCATCTCTCTCTCCCTCTCTCTCTCTCTCTCTCGGTCATGTTTCTTCTTATTTTGTTTGCTTGCTTGCTTCCTCATTTTCCCTCTCTTTTCCTGCGACCCTTCGCGTTTAGTCCACGTCTGTTGGCTGCGGTCCGGCGTCGGCGTCGGCGTGGCCATCCTCAGCAGCGCCGGGAGCCGGCTCATGCGGCCGCTCAATCGTACGCTTGATGTAGAACGCGGAGAGAATCGGGTGGGCGACCTGCTCGATCTCCTTGTTCTTGGCGTCGTACTCCTCCTTCGTGGCCTCGGGGTTCGCGTCGAGCCACGCCGCGGCGGCGTTCACAACCGCGTGGATCTTCTGCCGGTCCTCCGCGCTGACGCCGCTCTCCACATCCGGCTCGCTGAGGGTGGCGCGGAGGGAGAAGGTGTAGTTCTCCACCGCGTTGCGTGACTCAATGCGCTCGGCGTTGGCACGGTCCTCGCCGGCGAAGCGTTCCGCCTCCTCCACCATCTTCTCAATCTGCTCCTTTGACAGACGGCCCTTGTCGTTGGTGATTGTAATCGCCTGCGTCTTGCCAGCCAGCTCCTCCACGGCGCTCACAACGAGGATGCCGTCAGTGTTCACGTCAAACGTCACCGTAATGCGGGGCTTGCCGCGTGGCGCGGGCGGGATGTCAGTGAGTGTGAAGGTGCCGAGGCACTGGCACTGCGATACCAGCGGCCGCTCGCCTTCGTACACCTTAATCTCCACACTGCGCTGGTTGTCGGCGTTGGTGGAGAATGTCTGTGACTTCTGTATCGGCACCGTCGAGTTACGCGGGATGAGGGCAGACATGACGCCGCCGGCCGTCTCCACACCGAGTGAGAGCGGGGTCACGTCGAGCAGCAGCAGGCCGTCCGTCTTGTCCGAGCGGCCACCGGCGAGAATGTGCGCCTGCACTGCTGCACCGTACGCAACGGCCTCATCGGGGTTGATGGAGCGGTTCGGCTCCTTGCCACCAAAGAAGTTCTGCACGAGCTGCTGGATACGCGGAATGCGCGTGGAGCCGCCAACGAGGACGACGTCTTGCACCTCGCTCGGCTTCATCTGGGCGTCCTGCAGCACCTTCTTCACCGGCTCGAGGCAGCGCTCGAACTGATCGCGGCACATCTCCTCAAAGCGGGCGCGTGTGATCTTGGAGAAGAGGTCGCAGCCTTCGTACAGCGCGTCTATCTCAACACTGGCGTTCGCAGAGCTCGACAGTGTCCGCTTCACACGCTCGCACGCTGAGCGCAGACGACGCACCGCCCGCGCATTGCCCCGCACGTCCTTGCCGAAGCGTGTCTTGAACTCCGTCGCGAAGTAGTCCACGAGGCGGTTGTCGAAGTCCTCACCGCCCAAGTGCGTGTCGCCCGCCGTCGCCTTCACCTCAAACACACCGGACTCAATCGTCAGCAGCGTCACGTCGAACGTGCCACCGCCAAGGTCGAAGATGAGCACCACCTTCTCACCCTTCTCCGCCTTTTTATCCATGCCGTACGCGATGGCGGCGGCTGTCGGCTCGTTGATGATGCGCAGCACCTCCAGCCCCGCAATCACACCGGCGTCCTTCGTCGCCTGCCGCTGCGAGTCGTTGAAGTACGCGGGCACCGTCACCACCGCCTTCTTCACCTGCTCGCCCAGATACGCCTCCGCCACCTCCTTCATCTTCCCCAGCACCATCGCGCTGATCTCCTCCGGGAAGAAGGTCTTGGTCTCGCCCTGGTACTGCACCTCGATCACCGGCTTACCGTCTCGCACGGTCACCTTGAAGGGCCAGTGCTTGAGGTCCGACTGCAGGTCGGGGTCGTCGTACTTGCGGCCGATCATGCGCTTCGCATCGAAGATGGTGTTCGTTGGGTTCATCGCCACCTGGTTCTTCGCCGCGTCGCCGACGAGGCGCTCGGAGTCAGTGAACGCCACATACGACGGTGTCGTGCGGTTGCCCTGGTCGTTCGCGATGATCTCCACTTGGTCGTTCTTGAAGACACCCACGCACGAGTACGTCGTGCCGAGGTCGATGCCAATTGCAGAGGATGCCATTCTCCTCGCTTACAATTCCTTTTTTTGTCTTTCTTTCCTTCGTTCCCTCTTTCTCAATCTCTCAATCTCTCTTCGCTCTCCGTGTGTATTCCAGTCTGTCTGTTTTGCTTTTACTCAGTCGCCTTCTCCGTAAAAAGCCAACGCGGGGTGTGGCCTCAGCAGTGTTCTACGCGCACGTTCTCTGGACGTGAAGGGGGCGCACAGCAGACAAACACGGAGAAAGGGGTAACACGACGACAACAACAACAATGCCATAAAGAAGCAAAAGAAAGAAGTAAAGGGCACAAACCCACACATACATGGATGCTCCCTCAACTGTATGCATACACCCACAAAACAGTAACACCGCGAAGAGACGGGAAATAAAACAGTGGACTAATGGACACACAAGGCTCTACGGGGAGAGCTTCACAACGCATAGGGGCGCCTTCCGCCGCTGCTGAATTTCCAGCGTCACCCAGTCCGAAGTAAACACTCGCATGATTTCCAAGGAGGGCATGCCCTCAGTGGCAGTGGTGGCGGCGATGCTCATGTCGCTCTTCTTACTAGCATCCTTCTCCTCCACTGGAGGCGGTGATGGGCTACCTCCATGGAGGATGGACCTCTGCACGCTGTCAGCACGGTGCCGCAACATCATCATGCCGCTAATCGCATCGCGTCCGTTCATTTCATTACACACGGTTGTGAAACCCCACTGAAGCGGCTGCTGCTGCTGCTGCTGCTGATGTCTCTTGCGTTCTCTTTTCTCAAGTGCATGTCGCTTTGCCGCAAAAAGTTGATCTTGCGCGTGACGGAGCACCTTCACCATCTCCTGTAACTCTGCCTGCTGCTCCACATCCGCCTGGGTACGGCCGTCTATCAGTACAACGACCTCCTTAATAGGTAACGCGCCACAGTTCGTTGTGTCTCCGCGTGTGTTCCATGCATTTTCTCTGCTGTTGTACTCTTGCCCTCGGACCTGCATGAGAATAAGATCGAGCAGAGCTGCGGGGGACGAACACGACGTGGGAGCCGAAGTTGCCGTGACAGAATTGGAGGTCAGCGATGCCCCGACGGCGCTCTCAGACGTTGCCGCAGTTGCTGTTGTAGAGGTGGTGCCACTTGGTGGTGCATTGCCGTCCATGTCAGCGCATGTCACCCACGTCACGATGCCACCACCCGTCTCCAGGATATTTCGCATCGATCGTGCACGCGAGAGGCCGACAGGGGTGTCAGGTGAGACAAGAACGAACCACTTGCCGTCAAAGAGGCGATGCCCATTTGCCTGACGTTGCTGTCGACGAATGCGGCACTGTTTTGCGAGCTGCAGACTGCTGCGCGGCGTCTCTGGCGGAAGCAGCTCCGGACACCACTCGTAAGTGGAGAGATCACGCAACGGGAGAAGACACTGGCGTGCCTCACAGTCCTGTAGAGCCTTCGGGGTCACCACCCACACCCCAGCAGCAACAGCAGCAAGGACACTCTCACGCTGTGTCAGTTGGTGCGTCACAAGCACATCTGCACCTCGAACAGAGTACGCGAGAAGCTGCACACGTGTCACAACACCTGTCATGTTCGCCTGGCGATGGAGGTGCGTCTGCCGATAAGACCCTTGTTCATCACCTCCCATGCTGTTCCTACTGCTACACGCTGACTCGCTGAGTCTCGTGCAGGCGGCTGCCAAGCGCTCCCTGTCTGGCACGTCGTGGAGAATATGCACTCGCAATGCACCGCCACCCAAATACCACTGCGATAACGCCGACGAGGTCGACGAAGAGACATCAACGTCTCTGGGTGGAAGCAAAACCCGCGATGTGCGTTCGGGTGCCCGACTGTTGCTGCCGCTGCTATAGTTGTTCGTATCTGGATCCCACTGCCGTGGCATTTCCAGCGCAACCGCAATGCTCTTGCCATTGGTGCCCATCCGGCTTTGTCGCGTGCAGGAACGGTCATCGTCGCTATCACTCTCGCTTCCCAGGACGCGTGTCTTGTGCACCGGCGTGCAGGCGTGACTACAACTCACCGTCGCCACAGAGCCAGGTGGTGGGCTCATCGTATTGTGCAGCTGCTTCGGCTCGTCCTTGTCTTGGTCCTCCTTTCTCACTGATTCCCCCTTGCTGATGGGGTTCACCTCTTCGACAGGCACTATACCGCCTGCAGACGCAACAGCAGGCGACAGCACCCGTGGCACGCTGATACGCTGCCGCCGCGGGGTCCGCAGTGTTGGCCGCGGGCAACTCTGCCGCGCCACGCTGGTGTGGCTGTCGTTCAACACGTCGCGGTGCAGCCGTGGCCGGCACGGTGTTGAGGTGGGCGTCGTGAAGTCAAACTGGTATCCGGCGCCTGAGTGCGGTGACGGCGACACACCTTTCGTCACCGTCACCTTAGCGGTGCTGTCAAACGGCAGGAGCGTGACATCGGCGACATCGACGCATCGCCGCGGTGTGGCGGGTGGTGTCGCGGCGGAGAACGTCACCACGGGGCCACACCCCTCCACCTTTTCCACCTGCTGCCTCTCTTCTTGTGGCTCGTCGCGGCGGGCCACAGGGAGCGTGTAGGGTGTCTCGTCGAGGAACACACCCCACGCCACGCTCGCCTGCAGCCACTCGATGCCCA